TTCATGAATCCATGTGGCACATTAAAGCAGAATTTAATAATTTAGAAGTGATTCTGCTCCCCCATTTTCCCTACCTTTTTGAATCTGAGATGAGATGAGCAAACAATGGTAGAATCACTTCTAGTTAGTCACAGACTCTCAGCCCAACCTACTTCACAGGGTTGTTGTTGTGGGGATAAGATTGAGTGGAGGGGGGAGAATGATGCAACTTGCCTCCACTTTCTTGAAAGGAAAAAGGGTGGAATATAAATAAGTAAAAGTTAGCATTGTGAGGATGAAGCCTTGGGCTTACATACTTTCCTTTTGACTTCTTTCCTTCTTCACACCAAGGGCAGGGAACATAAAGCTTCTGCCTGTAGTTTGGAGCAATTCCATATTAACCAGTTTACATGCAAATAGGGATGCTCTCATTTGTTCTAGGAACTGCCAAGAAGGCTCTGAAGCCAGACTCCACTCTTCTTTTGTTGGTACTAACAAATTCAACTTTCCAGTAGGAACTTAGAAAGCTGTGGTATACTCAAGCAGCCCCATGGTCCACTGAGCCCAGGACTGCCAGCAGTGGTTCTCCAGGGAGTCAGGCAGGAGTTGCCAGCGTCACAGCTATGGTCTTCTGCGTGCAGTGCAGCTGCTATGCCACTGGGCTATGGCCCTCCCCTATTTGTTTATACTAGCCAGCTGCACTTTTCCTATGCACACGTAACAGCTAGTGGCCGCTGGACTTTGTATGGACCCACAAGGAATGTTAAATGTCCTCCTTTTGCACAGGCTGATCATGGCACCTTCCTGTAGTGACAAGCCATGTGATAGATGGACCAGGCTCCAGAACTGTTTGTAACTGTGTCCCACATTTCCAATTTATAGTTTTACTTTCCCTGCTCTATAGGTGTGAAGTTCCTGTGACATTGTGCCTATTGTTGGCCAGTCCCAGCTCATCTCTTCTGACTTTTGAATGCATTCTCTTTTCCCAGCTGCAGTTACATTAGTTGGAAGATGATGGACCTGATTCTTTCCAGATTTCCTTTGCAGGCAATTAGTTGTGCATGATTTACAATGTTTTGCTCCTTGCAATTCAGTGCAATGTGTGGCTTTCATACCATGAGTGTAACAGGCTTGAGTTTGATTCCATGCAGAAAAAGCCAAACAAATCATTATGTTCGGGCTGATAGTGAACAGTAGATGGTGCCACCATCACACAGCTGACTTGTGAAATGCTGCCTTCACTATTTGCTGAAGGATCTTCTGTATTTGACCTTCAGGTATCTTATTAGCTGTGGGAGTCAAAGAACTGAACCTGTTGGCATATCATTATTTCAGTCTGGGCCTTAGAAATTTAACCTATTAATCAAAGGCTTACTGGAACTTGCTTCCTTTCTTGGCTTTGCCTAGGGCAGTAGAAGGACAACCAGCAGTAACTCATTCTTGAACTGAGACAGTTTTTCAAGTTTGTGTTTAGCTTTTTACTCATGTCTACAACAGCGGCTTAATTTTGTTAGAATGCTAATTTATTTTTACATTTCCAGAAATCAAGGATTTCCCAGGAGAGAGAGTGACCATCAGATGTGAGTCTTAGCTGTAGACATGCAACAGAATAAACTTTCTGTTGAAATCAGTATCATTAGCAGCTTCGAACAGGACAAGCAGGTCCAAGATGACCAAAGTGTCTGGTGCCATGCTTACTGAATGAGGTAGAGGGTGAGGAGGCAAATGGAGAACCGTAACACTGTACATGCAGAATGCTGGTGCTATAGAAGGGAGTTGTGGTCAGAAAGCAAAAACAAAACCTTAATTGGATGGGGATAGATTCTCAAAGTGGCATGCACCTTAGAGGAACCTCTGACGTTAAGTTTGACAGTGGCAACGTACATAATGAATATTCAACCATGTTTTGACATGAAGATACTTTTCTTTTACCTCATTATACTTTTAAAAAGATACAGTACTGCTTGCGTATTTCTTTCCTTTCCAAGCTGACAGTGATGATATGGGAAAAGATGGTGCTAGAACACTAAAGACTACTGTTGAAACAAGGAGAGGGATAATTTATGGGCATTCAGCAAGGGCTCCTTGGCGATGGTAGAGCATGTGCACACTTGATTTACATGGTCTCTTTTGGGTGACAAATGGGAGTGTGCTTAGATGAAGATGGAGCATTAACTGCTAATCCCTTGAATCAGCATGAAGTGCTCTTGGGCCAGAGGGATGGCTTGACAAGTTAGTCTGCCAGTAGTTAAATCTTCCTGGCTATTATTCTTACAAAAGAAACTGCCATTCTTTCCTACCTCTGCCATAAATCAGATCCAACTATACGATGCAAGATTAGTAAAACACCCCCTCCATACACCAACCCCTATCTCACATTTATGGATGTCCTCAAAAGTGTATCAAAGCACTATGTGTGTGTTGTGTAGCCACATGTATGGTTGGGAGGAGGTGACATGTTTTGTGGCACCCTGAAACTGCCGAAGTTCAGTTAGCCAACTTTACCTTGGGGGGGTGGGGGGGAGAGAGAGAGAACATGTATGTACACACATGTGTGTGGAGGAGGGCTGTACTATTCTACACAATCTAGTAACTCGAGTTAACCTTTTTTAAAGTTTCAAAAAAAGACAGACCACTTGAGCTCATGCAGTGGGGATTTTTTCTTCATTCAGGGTGTAAAGAACATAGGTCTCTTTAGATAACTTTTGGATTAATGAATTAGCATGCAGTTGTGGATGATTACAAAATCCTTTGATAAGGTAGTAAATTATTTTTCCCTGCTAAATCAATGGCAAAGGTCTGAAAGATAACCCCTACAAGTAGATATCTGAAATGCTCATTTGCCCACCCTACACTTAATGTTGAGGATGATTTGATCTCCCCCCGTTTTCTACACAGTATTACTGAATGCTGCTTTGTATTTAATGACAGACCATTGCAGTGGGGCCACTACAGGATCAGGTGCCTTGAACACAATAGAAGACTGTGGGACATCGTATCATCTCAGTCAGTTGCCTCCTGGCTTCTCTGCTAGAGCCTGAGTTGTTAAACGTGGTTAATGGCATATCCCTGAGTTCTTGAGGGCATCTAAGTAAATGTGCTGGTGGGGATGGAGCTTCGACTCTGATATCACAGTAGCAGATGGGAGGGGGTGAAAAGTAAGAGGCCTGGCATGGCCAGCATTGCCCCCAATTGCTGCAAGCGGGGGAAGGGGGTTGCTGCTTCCAGAAGAAACATAGAAACATAAAAAACAGAGCGAGTCAGAAGGGGTCTCCCGGGCTATCTAGTCTGACCTCCAGCACCAGCCGGCTCCACTCACAACATGCCCACCACATGGACGTCCAGCCTATCCTTGAACACCCTCACCGATGGGGCCTCAACGACCTCCCATGGAAACCCTTCCACGCCCTTGGGGTCCTGACTGTCAGGAAGTGCTTCCTGGCATCCAAACGAAACCTTGGCTCCCTGCGCTTTGCTCCGTTGGAGTGCGTCCTGCCTTCCTCTGCAGGGGAGAACAGGTCTCTACCCACCTCTGTGTGACATCCCCTCACATATCTGTATGTTGCCAACATATCCCCTCTGAGTCTCCTCTTCTCCAGGCTGAAGAGACCCAGTTCCCTCAGTCTCGCCTCATACCCCATCCCCTGCAAACCAGCCACCAACCTTGTGGCCCTACGCTGCACTGACTCTAACCTGGCTATATCCTTCCTGTAATGAGGGGCCCAAAACTGAGCACAATATTCCAGTTGCGGGTGCACCAGAGTCGTACAGAGTGGTAGTAATATCTCTCTTGATCTAGAAGCCACACTTCTGGCTATGCAACAAGGGTGGCGTTCGCCCTCTTGACCACCGCATCACACTGCTGACTCATGTTTAGCCTGCAGTCAACCAGTACTCCGAGGTCCCTTTCACAACTGCTGCTCTCCAGCCACTTGTCACCTAACCTGTACTTATGACAGCTATTCCTATGCCCCAAGTGCAAGACCTTGCACTTATCCACATTGAACGCCATCCTGTTGTCTCCTGCCCACTTCCATAGTCTGTCCAGATCCTTTTGGATCTGGAGTACCTGCTCCTCAGTTGTGGCCACTGCTCCAGTTTTAGTGTCGTCTGCAAATTTGATCAGCAGACTGTTCACCCCTTCTTCCATGTTGTTAATGAAAAGATTAAACAGGATCGGCCCCAGGACAGAGCCCTGGGGGACCCCGCTTGTCACTGGCCGCCATTCCGATGATTCCCCGCTAATGGTTACCTTCTGCTTTTGGTCAGTCAACCATGCCCTAATCCACCAGACAGTGCTTTAGTGTATCCTAAAACTCCTCAGTTTCTCCACCAGGATATCATGGGGCACTTTGTCAAAGGCCTTGCTGAAATCCAGGTATACCACATCCACTGCATCCCCTCCATCTAGCCGTCTCGAAACCTTGTCATAGAATTCCACAAGGTTTGTCTGGCAGGACCTGTTTTTGCGGAAGCCGTGTTGTGTGGCTGTCAGCCTCCCTTCCCTATCTAGCATCACTAGATCTCTCTCTATTATGAGCCTTTCCATTGTTTTTCCTACAATGGGTGTAAGGCTAACCGGTCTATAATTCCCCATGTCCTTTCTACTACTCTTTTTGAAAAGAGAAGTGTCTGTGTGAGGGTTGCTGAGTGCCTTGCAAGTACCCGAAATCCCAACTAACCACAGCACATGGCATAGAATCAATGAGATCTTGAAGATGTTATGGGGGGAAAAGGATGGGCCGGAGCTTAAGAGGGAAGCCTGTTGAATTCACCTGCTTGTGGAAGTAGATGAGGAAGAGAAAAGATGTACCTTAATCTAACAATGGAAAAAACTACCTGCCTTCAATCTCCTACCATTACAACCTACTTGGATTGAAGATGGAGTATATAGGATCAAATGTTTTATTTTGGAGGAATATTTCCAGACTCAATGTAAATTTTAAGCTGAGAATTTTAAACAGGGAGTGTAATGCCATGATCTTTCACTGATTGATCCAATGCTGTGTTTTGTGTTACAGGGGTCTGATCCACTTGCTCACTCACCTCTCAGAAGCTCTGCATCAAGCTCAACTTCAGCTAATAACAGTCATCCCTCCTCCTATTATGCCAGGGTGAGTGTTATTTCCAGAGTAAATTTCAGGCAGGTTTATTTTCAGCTTCATTCAAGTTGTTTGGGTTTATTGTTTTTGAAAGCACAGCATAGATGCAGCCTAAATTATGAAGCAAATGTTCTACCATACTGCAGGAGAAAATGCTAAGCTCAGTAGACTGGAAAAGAAAAGGGAACTATTCTTGGACTTGGTTTAGAAATTGTGTTGGTACTGGGATGTATCCTTCTGAACAAGGACCATATCATTCTTGCATTCATCATAAAACCCTGAATGATGCTTCTGGGCTTTTAATCATTGTTGAGGCACACAATTTTAAAGCAAGATGTATACTAAAATGTGTTAGAAACCAAATTAAGGAACATGTTTAAAGCAAAATGTGAATGACGGATATTTTGAACAAAATAATACCGGTCATGATCTAAAACAACTCCTAAACTCTCAATAAATGAGTCTGAAGGAGGTGGATCGGGGTGGAAGAGACACAACAAAGAAATGCAGCCTTCCTATAGAAAAAGAGGTAATCCTTATCAAGTTGAGTTTCCTTTTGCACATGCCACTTTAATGTTTCTGGCCATATTATAATGAATTGTTCTGTAACAAGACACTAAAGGAAGTGCCCACTCTAGTTTTAAACAGTTTTGAAGAGAGCTTTCAATCAGGAAAATACCCAGGTCTATGAATTTGCCAGTTGTACAGCACTTCTTTGATTTTAATGTGTGTATCTGCCTTCTTTGGAGCGCTTAATGTCACGGCTTGTGCTCAATTGCGGTGGAGCTATGTTATTCCTGTGTCGTTTCTGTGAAATACTGAACCTGTTTAGCCACATTTGCCAGTGGGTGGTTTCAGCTGCTGGAGAGCATCTGATGGAGAAGGCTTTGTCTTTCTCTCTCTGCCATTCAGATCACTGTCCAAAGTACCATTTACAGCATCCTCACTCCCTGCAGCACTATACAGCTCTACCGCTCAATTTTGTGGCTGCCCTCATGGCGTAAGCACATTGCCACCTGTTCCTGGTCTTCATCCTGTGGCTTGCCAAGGATTTAGTCTGAACACCTGCGTGTTGGAGTCAGTGTGGTACAGGTGATGGGGTGCAATAATATCCTATTGGCATGGGTAGAATTGCTCTTCACCTCCTATCCCGATTATAGAATGTTCCTCCCATTCTTGTGCCCCCTGACTTGTGTAAGGCCTTGTTTCTGTGTGTGCAGTGGTTCTCTGACCCACGGATGGAAGATCTCTGTTCCTCTTATTTTCTTATACAGCTGGCTATACAATCAAGGGCTTAAGTATTCTTTCTTGTCTTTCAGTGAGACATCATACTTGAACATGTTTCATCTTGAGAGTCCCCTTTGAGCATTTGTTCCTACCTGCAGCAATACACAGTATGTGTCTTTAAATGGACACAATACTTGTTAACCTATATCTTGTGGTGTAGTTTGTACTGAGGAAGAGCACAATGATGCAAGGAGGGCCTGTAGATCCGTATTAAGAGCAGTAGTAGTATCATGGATCTCACTGGTCTTGATCTGCATATTTTTGTTTTAAAGCGGATGGCTTCTGTTTGCTAATTGTACTCTGCTACAGAACGCAAATGAATGCTCTTAAATACATTTGCGGTTTCTACATTATCAGTCATTACTCTGACAAAGCTTCTCATACAGCTAATGCATTCCTTTCAAGATCTAGGCTAATTGCAGCAAACAGTTTTTGTAAAATGAAGTTACATATGTGGAACATTAAGTAGAGGGCAATTGTCCAAACTAAATATCCTCTTGTGTCCCTGGACCAACTCCTTATGCAGTTGGGTAGAATTGCTATATTGGATTTGGCTAACAAATGTATTGTTTAATGGAAGGTTACGGACTAGCCTGTTCAGATGGAGTGACTTTTATAGAACATTTTCTGCCCCTGGCCACAGTGTTACTAAGAATGCATCTTCCGTGCACGTACCAGGAAGAATCCAGCCCTTTGGAATTCCATATGCAGCTTTTTGGTGTCAAGCCTATTTTGGGCACTTGAACCCAAATGCACTATGCTGGTGCAGTGGAATGAAGAGAAGTTGCTGTGCTAACTTCCATGTTTCTTAAGGCGGTTGAAACCATTATGACAATCCAGTTTCCAGGCCATAAGACTTACCGAAAATAGATCAAATCAAGTGATTTCTGCAAATGGTGAGCGGTGAGAATCAGCCTGCTAGAGTTTATAGCACCCTGAAGAGGAATTTGAAGGCATGTTATAGGTTTTCCTCTGGAATTGCCCTGTACTTGGCTCCATCCATCTTGTCTCCATCTCCATCCTGACTCTCAGTCGTTGCCAAGGAAAAGCATCCCCACAACATGATGCTGTCACTGCCGTGTTTCACCATGGGGATTGTGTCAGGATCAGGGCTGAATAACTGCAGGTGCTCGCAGAACCAGGAGTGCCTTTGTAGGCACTTGCAAGGAGCACCTGTGGAACAATTGTGCAGTGCAGCTGGAGACCCTGAAGACCAGCATAAAAGGCTTCCCGACACTGCTGCTCCTTGTCACAGCAGTGCAAGTGTCCTGGTGACTTCTTGTGCTTTGGCCCTGCTTTGCTGTGCCTTGTTCAAGTCTGTTCCTGCCTCACTCCAGCCAGCGCCCTTCCTGCTCTTCCCATCTTTCCTCTGAGTAGACCCTGTCCCACTCCAGCCTGCTACAACCCTTGCATCAACATCTCTGTGGTAAACTGTGCCCTGACTCTCTCTATCTCTGTGTGTGCGTGCCAAACTCGGACTGCTTTCAGCTGCGCCTCTGACCTGCACCTACTGACTTGCCCCAGGCCTCTGGCCTGTGCTGAGCTCTGGATTCGGCTTGAGCTCGTGCCCTGAGCCCAGAGTTCTGGCCCTCTTTCCTGCCGCCCATGGCCCAGCCCTCACAGATTGTCTTCTCAGATCAATGAACATCGTCAGCTTTGTTCCACATGCAGCATTTTGCAGCAAGGCAAAGTGCTGCGGAGTTTGAGTTTGGTCTTATCAGACCAGAGAACTTTTTTGCACATGTTTGCTGTGTCTCCCATGTGTCTCTTTGAAAGCTCCAAATGAGCTTTGATATGGGCTTGTTTCTGCAGTGGCTTCCTTCCGGCGCTTCTTCCATGAAGCCCAGCTTTATGGCGCATCCTTATGATAGTTGTCCCATGGATAGTTTCTCCCCTCTCAGCTGTGGATCTCTCCAGCGGCTTCAGAGCTTCCCGGTCACTTTGCTGACTTATGCATCCCTTACCAAGTCGCTGCGTATTATTGGACAGCCTTCTCTGGGCAGAGTTGCAGTTTGGCCATATTGTCTCAGTTTTGTAAGAATGGATTTAACAGTGCTCTGGGGAATGTTAACAGTATGAGGATTTTAAAAATTAATCCAACCCTGATTGGTGCTTTTGCTTAACCTTGTCCCAGAGTTATTTAAATAGTTCCCTAGTCTTCATGAAGCTGTTTAGATATGCTCTCCAACAAGCTATGGGGCCTTCCAGAAATGAGTATTTAATTTGAGATCTTGTGGCCCTGGAATTGCATGCAGGTGGATGCAATTCAGGTACTTAGAGATTGTAACTTTTGGAGGTAGTGGGTTGTTCCAGAGCTTATTTAGGCATGTCATAGCAAGGGGTGTGAATATTTATGCAAACAAGAAGGGTTCATTTGTTTTTGTTTTAACTTTTGTGCTACAATAACAATATTTTGCATGTTCACAGTGTTGACTGTCTTGCACATCAAGTGGTAACAATGCCAATTACATCCCTTTCAATCCCAGGTTGTATCTTAACAAAATATGGAAAAGTCAGAGATACAAAACTGGAGCATTTCTTGGCTATTAAGTGCACTCCCTTGTTTCTCCCCATATTCTGTGTCTTGAACTTGGGTTTAGTTGGCTTGTTTGAAAAGACTTCCTTCTGCCTTTTAGGCAAAATCCACAAATACTTTCTCTTTGATTTTATTAAAGTGCCAGACTGGCAATATGTGGTAAATTAGATTCATAGAATTACTGAGCTCCTGCTGAAATCTGCTTTTCATTGGCATATTTAATACTATGTCATCTTTATTCATTGTCACTTTGGAGTCAATTTGAATCTAACCTTTACAAATGATGGAAAGTATACTTTTAATAATCTAATATCCTTCACGTGTTGGACATGGAGTAGATTTAATCAACCATTCAGCAAAAGGCATGGAAAAAGATACTGCAAAGAATCAAATAACATTTGTAGACTCCATATCTGGTAAAAGCCTGATAAGGTAGATCTAAATTGTTTTGTGAAAAATCTCCCTCTTTTGAGCTGAACCCCCAGTGGCTGAAATATAGTGCTCCTTTTGTGTTCTGTCTTGATTAAAACTTGAAGAAAGAAAACAGTTAAATTATATTTTTAAGCGGTTTTTGTCACACATTTACATTGAGATCAAATTGTTGGAAAATGCTAAGTTAGACAAGCATAAGAGCCGGAGGTCCTAAATGCTTAAGAGAGAAAGTCATTGCAAAATATTGCAATGAATTCCACTAAATGTGCATTGTATGATATGAAAAGTACCCAATTGGATTATCTGTGCTGATTGTTCCATGAGATTTCACACAGAGAACATTCACGGTGTAATTAGTGTAATACCAGAAGTCATCCGTGCGCAGAGAGGAGACAGTGTTGCCTTTAGACATGAGAGATGCACCAGTCCATGTTGAACTAGAAACTGATTGGGTAGCCTTGGACAACTAATACAGCAACCTTGTGAAGTAGATAATATTGCAGATGCTAGTTATCTCTTGGGCTTCGTTCTCACAAAGGCGAGTTGGGGTGGTAAACGTGTTTCTTAGTTATTCCATTTCAAACTACTCCCTCCAAAAGCACAATAGCATCCTTGTGTGCAGAAAACTAGCATGTTTGGGAGAAGGCTAGGCCAGAGCCCTTCTCCCTGACCTGCCAGCTTCATATGTGCAGGATCGACATCTGCGTATGCAAAAAGTCACTGCCATACTCTCCACAGTTCCCTACACAGTCTTAGT